TATAAGTTGGAAGGAGTCCGAATAAAATTTGGCTTCAGTCCTGATCAGACTGTTCCCAGAAGAACTGCCTCCGAGTAGTCTCTTTTCGCCGTCCAGATTCTCTGGTGCGGGTCCTAACCCACCCTTGGTCAGTGCTGGTCACCAACAATAAACCATTGTAAAATAAATCGAAGATCTATATACGTGGAAAAATATATCTCATTCAAAGATCAAAGACAATACTGCTAAGATGGCAATATCCTGCCCTCCTCCCCCCGAAAACTAATCTACAGATTCAAAGCAATCCCTATCAGAGGCCCAGGTGACTTCTTTGAGGAACTTGAGAAGCTGACACTAAAATTCATATGAAATTACAAAAAATTCAGAATAGTCAAAACAATATTGAAAGGGAAGAACAAAGTAAGACGATTCACATTTCCCAATTTCAAAACTTACTACAAACACTGATATGACAGTGTGGTATACAGAAAGACAGGTGCATAGATCACTGGAAAAAAGCCATGTGTCTACTGTTTACTGATTTTCATCAAGGGTGCCAAGACCATTCAATGGGAAAATAAATAGTTTTTTCAAAAAATGATATTAAGACAACTGGAGAGCCACATGCAAAAGAATAATTTAGACCCTTACACCATATATGAAAATGAACTCAAAATGGATCAAATACCTAACTCTAAGAACGAAAATTTAAAACTCTCAGAACATAAGGCTAAATATTCATGACCTTAGATTTGACAAAAGATTCTTAGAAATGACACTGAAAGCATGAGCAATAATTTAAGAAATAATTTGGATTTCATTAACATTAAAATCTTTTGGCTTCAAAAGACAACACCAAGAAAGACCACAAACAGAATGAGAGGAAATATTTGAAAATTATATTTCAGATAAAGGCCTTGTATCGAGAATATATAAAGAACTTTTATAACTCAATAATAAAAAGACAAATCACCCATTAAATACAGTGATAAGCAAGAGATCTGGATGGAAATTTCTCCACAGAAGACATAAATGACCAATTAACACATTAAAAGATGCTCAACAGCATTAGTCATCAGATAAACTATAAATCAAAACCCCAATGAAAAACTATTTCACACCCACTAGGATCAAAGACAAACAATAACAAGTAAGGCTGATAATATGGAGAAGTCAGAACCCTCATATCCTCTAGTGAAAATGTAAAATGAGGCAGTCTTTCATTTTTGAGAGGCTTGCCAGTGTCAGGCCTTACTGGTACAAAACTTTTGCCAGCCCTTCCTTTTCTCTCTTCTCACTAATAAACTTTGTTTTAAAACTTGAAAAGAAAAGAGAAGAAAAAAGAAAAGAGAATGTAAAATGGTGGAGGTACTTTAAAGAAAACTGTCTGGCAGTACTAAAATGATTAAACATGTGGGTTTACCATGTGATCAAGCAATTCCATTTCATTTTAGTACTACCAGACAGGGTTACCATGTGATCAAGCAATTCCACTCTTTGGCATATATCTGAGAGAAATAAAAATATATGTCCACATCACAGCTTGTATACAGTATTCATAACAACATTATTCATAATAGCCAAAATGTGGAAACAACCCAAATGTCCATTAACTGATAAACGGATAAACAAAATGTGCCCCATCTACACAATGGAATATTACCTGACCATAGAAAGGAAGTACTGATACAATGCAACAACATAAATGAAACTTGAAAATATTATGCTAAGTGGAAGAAGCCCTTCACCAAAGACTACACAGTATAAGATTCCATTTTTATGACATGCTCAGAATAGAAAAACCTAAAGAACCAGGAAAGATATCAGTGGTTACGTAGGGATAGGGCAGTTTCTTTCTAGGGTGATAAAAATGTTCTGAAATTAGACAGTGGTGATGGATGTACAACTTTGTGAATATATTAAGTCATTGAATTGTATACTTTAAATGGGTGAAAAGTATGGTGTGCGAACTATACCTCAATAAACTGTTATTAGCTTGCTCTTGGCTCCATAAGGTTTGTCCGTAACTTAAGAATACTTTCTATGAGGGCAGATAAAAAAGAAACCGTATCTGAACTGCCTAATAACTGTAATTTTATAGTCTTTTTTCAGTCACCAGGGTGATACTACCTTTTCAATTGCCTTACCCTTCACTCATTAAGTATCCTGGACATACCCAAAATTTCTAAATTATTAATCAAAGCAAACACAAAGCATAAATAACCCAGGAAAATAAGAGGAAAAAAATTGATGTGAACATGATTATCCTTTGCTGCCTACAACTGGCCCCAAACCATTCCTATTTGCTAATTAACCATAAAAAGGCTATTTTACTTGTCTTGCTTCCACCTTCTATCATATGAAAATATGATTTCTACCAATGTACTCACCACAACAGAATAATAAAAACTTTAAAATTATATTTTTAATTTAAAACAAAGACATTTTAGGACCTTTAAAAATTGATTTTGTTTTTTTTAATTCTCTTCTTTCCCTAATCATTCCTGTCAAATGCTATTAATGTAAGTCTTACCTCTGCTTTTTCAGTCACCTTAGCTTCTGTCATAAGGTCTGCTAAAGCATAGACAAAGCCAAGATCTAACCTGAGATCCATTTCTTGAATTAACACTTTGAAATACCTATATTACAAAGTAAAAAAATTAGAAAAAAATAAATGGGATACATTAAGATAATCAGATAAGAAAGAAAGTACTAGATTAATATTTAGAACTTTGAAACTTAGGAGTTTTTAGTTGAATAAAAAAATACTGTGGCAGCACCGTTTATAATAGTTAACAAACTCAAAATATGGCCACCGAGAGGAATGGATTAGTGAACTGTGGTATACAATCATATAACAGAATATCATACATCTGTGATAATAAAACTATAGCTATGCACAATAAAACCAATAAGCTTTAATTAAAAAGTTGAATAAACAAAAGCAAGTCCTGGGAGTCTATTTACAGCTTGAAACAATTTTCTAAAAATTAGAAAAAAACCCCCCTAAAACATAGTGATTAGGCACACATACAGAATAAAATCATATTTTAAAAAGCAAGGAAATAGGCAGTTTATTTTGGTGACAAGGTAGGGGAAATGGAGACTGGGGACTATCATACAGATGAATGCTTTTGTCCATGTTCGATTTTTTAGAATGGATAGTGAATGAAGATGAAATATTAGTTTTTTCTTTTTTCTGAAATAATATATGGTTATTACAGACAACTTAAGAGAGAAAATACACATAAAAGAATAATAAAATATCTAACCTAGAAACCACTATTAGAAATACTTAGATGTATTTCATCCAGAGTTTTCTTTATAAGCTCCAAGATTACAAAATAATTAATAGATTTTTTCTTTGACTTTTGTAATTTAATATCTTATGCTTAAATCTTTGACTTGTCTAAAATTATTTTTGACAAGTACAAAGAATTCATATATTTAAATCAAAACATTAAATAAACATATAATAAATGCATCAACACACTTACTTAATACGTGATATCTGGGAATGTCCTGCAGATCTCATGACAATACTGACATCTGTAAAGGGCTTTGGTGCTGTAATAGTTATAAATATAATTACTTCCATGATGTTCAAGCAAAGGATAAAATATTTTCTTACAATTTAATATGCATCACAATAAAAAATTAAATAATTTACTAAATAATAAGTACCAATTAAAACTACTGATATTAGCAAGCTCAATTACAGTTCTAATTTCACTCTCCAGGACTGTCTTTTTAGTTATCTGCACTACTCTAAAAATAAGTAAACCTAACCTATAAATTAGTAATTTTAAACTAGAAGTATGCATTAGAATCATCAAGGATACTGTGAACGAACACAGATTCTGAGGACTTGAGCCAGACCTTTACGTGGAAGGGCTTAAGTGTCTATACTGGTCAAAAAACTTCCAAGCAGATTATAAAGAGTACACCTCAAAGACAGGTCAGAGACAGTGGTGTGTGGGGATGGGAAATGGAAAAGCAAAGGGAGAGGGGAGTGAAGTAGGGTAGTAGAGAGGAAGGAGAAAATAGGGGGAAAAGAGATAGGCAAGAAAGAAAAAAGGCAAAGGGAAAGAAATGGGCAGAAAAAAACTTGTCAGTTCTTATCTAAAGAATATAAAGTCAGTTTCCACTGTTAGAAAATACTCGAATTTAAACTCTCATTTATTCAAATGTCCTAATGGCTTGTAAACCAGGGATTTGCAGATTAGGAATTTTTTTAAAAAACTAATATTTCCAAAAATTTGAATATATACTTTGAATTAATTTTTTCTTCAGGATTCGCTCAAAGTTTTATCAAAGTTAGATGAGAGTACTTGCTGGTCCTTTTTCAAGCAGTTTAGTTTTCCAATGATCCTATAAAAATTAAACTTGAGAATGGTTTCACTTCACGTTTTTATAGTAAAATAAATCAAATAGTTGTAATACAACTGTTTTTATGGCAATCTAAAAATAAAAACAAACCTGAATCCATGGTGACCGACTTTGGAGGTCTAATAGGATAAAACACAAATGGAAATATAGCACCATGTATCTGATTTTGAATCTAAGAAAACAAAAAACAGGTCAGTACATTAGTATGTCAATTTTAGAACCTGACTAGAATTACAAGATTTAAGAAACAGAAGGAATCAAAAAGTCTAGACTAATATCGAAACAGAAGTACTAGATAAAAACCAACTATGGACATATACCTGGTCTCTCATTATGTTCCTTTAGGATACAATCTTGCCTGAATTTTCAGAAAAACCCACCTGTATTCTGCAAATTTGAATTCTGACTGATGACTGATGTGCAGATGTATTATATTCTACTTTTAACGCTGGAAGATAATTTCTTCGTAGAGCTATTACATGAGGTTGCAGAATTTTCATGTTATTACCACTAGGTGTTAAGCGGACCTGAAAAATATGCAGTCCCCCAACAAATGAAATTTATCCATATCCATAATTGATTAGAATTAGAAACTTATACCAAATAATGCATAGAATATTAATTAAAATAGTAGGCTAAATATTTTATCAGATTTAGAGTCAGATCTTTATACTTTATATCCATAAAATTCCAATATTCATAATTGTTATTGCTTGGTTATATAAATTTACTAAAATTCACTACAATAAAAATAAATTAATAAAGAAAAAGATAATACACCTTTTAAAAGAAAGTACATAAAAAATAAAGATAAATGCAAAAAAATTTGGTTTTGATTAACCCAAAGAACAAATCATTAGCATCTGGCATCTTAAAAGAAAGCTTGATTTCTTAATACAGAAAATAATCATTTAAGATATTTTATACCAAGTATATACGAAGGATTAATTTTGTTCAGTTTGTTTTATAAGGAAATCAGACTTCCTTAAAATTCACTAGTTATTCACCAAACTACAACAGATAAAAATGAAAACTTCACATTAGTACTTAAAAATATTACCGGAATGTTAGTGTCCAACTCAATAACTTTATCTTCTGAAGGTGAAGATTCAGTATATTCCTTAAATTCTTTCTCTAACTTCTCAGTGTGCTTTATACTCATTGGCTTCCATCGAGCCTTCTTCTTGGGCTTTGTCTCCCAAACCACATCAGAACTTACATATGAAAGCAAAAATCATATAATACTAATTTACAAACATTTTAAACTGGGTTATTACATGAATTACAACATCCTCATTAACATTTTGCAATAGCCTAAGTTACAAGGAAGCACATTACAAGTTTAAAAACATGAATTTGTTCAACTAATACTTATTACATTCCTATTCAGGCACTATTCTAGACGTCAGGAACATATCAGTGAATATCTCTGCCATCCTGGAGCTTCATTTTAGCTGGTGAGTAACAAACAATACTCTCACATTAGTCACTAATATATAAAAATTAATTTCAACTTAAGCATTTATGAATAGGAATAACAAGGGCATAAGGGAGAGACAAGAGCTTTATTGGTGATATCTTATATGGGGAATTATATTAATAAAATATTATTATCTTATTAGATCTTAAAGTGCCAAGGTCAAACTAAAAGGGATTGTCTTTACTTTAATCCTCCAACAACTATAGTGTACCCTGCATGGTGGTAGATGGTAATGGACAATTAAGCAGTTCTTATGACATGCTAAATAAAGTATACTTTTGATAAGTTGCATAAATCTAATTTTTTTTGGAAATGGGAGGATTAATAACATAATAAGGAAATTATAAATTTTCTGACACATCTTTGCAGGGGTCCTGCCCCTGCAGGGATCGGAGGTCTCTGGCGGTGTGACAGCATCAGCGATTTAAACTGGAGGGATAGATATAAAGAGAAAAAAATGTGGGAGAAAGAAAGAGACTGGACTCCAGCTCAGGTGACCAGAAGCCGTTTATTGAATGCTATCTCAAGGCTTTTATCCCCAAACTCTGCAAAGTCATCATCACAGGAAATAAAGGTAACATGTGCTTTTCACATGAACAGGCCCAGTTGCACAAAGGACACCCCCCACTCTCAAGCAAATGTTCTTTCATACATAAGGAAGAACATGAGGAAGAACAACCACAAATTGTCTTTTTGTATCTTATGTTATCTTCATCTCAAAAGGCAAAAAAATATCTCAGATCTCAGACACTGTTTTTTTCACTGTTGGAGTCTCACTCTGTTGCCCAGGCTTGAGTGCAGCGGCACTCTCATGACTACCACAACCTCGACCTACTGGGCTCAGGTGATCCTTGCCTCGGCCTTCCAAGTAGCTGGAACTATAGGCACGCACTACCATGCCCAGTTAATTTTTTAAATTTATTGTAGAGATGAGGTCTCACCAAGTTGCCCAGGCTGTTCTCAAACCCATAGGCTCAGGCAATTCTCTCATTTCTGCCTCCCAAAGTGCTATAGACACACTTTCAAATCAATATTATCTTAGTATCAATGAATAGTCAAAAGCACAAAACGTAAATTAAATCACTACAGACTTTATAATCATTTCTTGAAGATTGAAAACTGATCATTTAAATGTATCCAAAATTTAATGCATCTAACCTTGTAATGCCTATATAGGCTACTTCTTGCTTTGTGTAATTGTTGACAAGAGAAATTCCAACATCTTGTAACGCCAATACAATTTCTTGCTCTGCTAACTCTGCTTTCTCACTTTCGTATGTTACTTTAAATACCCTTGGATCTTCAGTGAATAAAATAATGCGTTGTAAGCCTTCAAAGAATGACACTAAATAAACAGTCTTTTTGCCCAAATGTATAGGTGTCATCATATCCTAAAATAAAACCAAAAACAACAAAAAATTAGGGTTTGGTCCCAAACAGCATGAATTCTAGATTTCACATTTATAAAATGAGACTATTAATGGCACCTATTTCATAAGGTTAGTGGAAACTACATGAAGTAATATTTGGAAAATGCTTGGAAATGTACATTATTGAAATCACTTAGTGTTATCTATTGCCATTACTATTACAAAGCTATTAATCAAGAAGACAGTTGAACTATTTAATTTCTTTTATGGTAACATTTTAGTGAAATCGAATGAAATAGTCTTCCTTTACAGCCTAATCAATAGCATAAAGTATTTTTTGCTTTAACCTAAGACTACAGCATAGTGATAAATATTAAAAGTTGTTTTTGTCAGAAATTCATATTTCTTCTCATAACTGAATCAAATGGGATAGAAAGTATCTAATATCTCAGATGCATGCTCTAAAAAGCACGAATATTCACCATGGGGAATTCTGCAGGAAGCCCTTATATAAACAATATACTTATATTAGCGTTTTTTTGTAGGTCAATGACAAGATAGTGAAAGACCAAATTCAAATAATCTCACTTCATACTTGGATTAAGGTAATCTGCCTCTAGATTAGCTGCCCACCAAAGACAAAACTATATTTTCTTAAGAAAAAAGGCATACAGAACGTCAAATTATCTCAAAAAATTTTCATACACTACATACAGCACAGAAAAAAAAAATAAACATGTATAAAAAGAATGGATTTGAGGGAAAACCAGAGGAAAAAATAAAAAATATTCATAAGGGAGTTAAATATGGGAATTTTCAGGTTTTAATGTAGCTATGACTAATACATACAAGCGATTATGTGACAAGATAGAGAATTTTGGAATAAAAATTTCTAGAATAGAAATCCTAAAACTGATCATTTCTTTTTTCTTCTTCTTCTTTATCTTTTTTTTTAGTTGGGGTCTCACTCTGTCACCCAGAATGGTGTACAGTGGCATGTTCTCAGCTCACTGTAGCCTTGACTTCCTGGACTCAGGTGATCCTTCTGCCTCAGCCTCTCGAGTAGCTAAGACTATAAGCGCACACCACCACCACATCCAAATCATTTTTTGATTTTTTTGTAGAGATGAGATCTTGCTATGTTGCCTAGGCTAGTCTGGAACCTGTGGACTCAAGCAATCCTTTCAGCTCAGTCTCCTGAAGTGCTGGGATTACAGGCATGAGCCACCATGCCCAGTCAATAATTTCAATAATTGAAATTAAGCACTCAATAGATGAGATTAAGACCAGGTTAGACACAGCAAGAGAAGCACAGTAAGAGACAGATCCGAAGAAAATATGTGTACTAAGAGACTGTAGAAAAATGGATAAAATAATATATTAAAAGTACACAAAAGCCACAAGAGGCATGGATAAAAGTTCAACATCAGGTACTTGGAAGTCCTAAAAGAGGAAAACACAAGCACAAACAGTATTTGAAGAAATAATGGCTATGAAATTTTAAAACCAGACAAAAGACTTCGAGACACTATTTTAGGAAACATAATAAATAAAAAGTGATAAATTCAGAGAAAATCATACCTAAGAACATCATATAGTAAAATTGCTATAAACCACTGAAAAGAATAAATTATTAAAGTAGTCAGAGGACAGAAAAGAAGTGCCAAGCTGAAACTTGACAGCAATAGAAATGGACAAAAGGGCAAAGTAAAGATATTTTCAGACAAAGTTATTCAAAATGATACTGGAAAATGTTTGTATATAAATTTATTATCATAGCTTGACACCCCAAGATAAATTAGTTTTAGTTTACTCAGTGGATCCCGAAATGTTCCTCACTAAAGATAAAGCTACCTAATACAACTGTCGATGTAAAGATTATATCTGTTTATCAGGTGAATGATGAAAGCATGTCTCTAAGCACAGCTTTACCCTTTATAACATAGTAGAAACAAATAATTCTGTAAACAATATAAGACTACTTATGGTTTTAATATTTTTGGTTAAGCTAAGGTTAGAATACTACTTAAAAATTTGGGGCAGTTTTTTGTTTTAGAAGTATAGCCATAAAACAATCTTTAAAACTAGGAAGGCTGAAAAAAAATTCTTAAAAAAAAAAAAAAGCTGCTGAGAACACCACAATAAACAATCCAATACTCACATCCTTTTGTGTTACTTCACCATGGCTTTTTCCACATCGCCACTTCAACTTTCTAGAGCCCACTGGATCAGCCCATGTATAAAACACTGCTTTTCCAGGAGGGAGGGAATCTTCTATTTCACTGAGAGAACTGACATTAATAGCAAATATATACATCAAATTAAATGCATGTATATAAATACATACAAAGTCCAAAATAATACTTCATTAATTCTTAATCCATTGAGATTTATGATGGTTTGGATTAAAACTAGACTAAAATTTTTTTCTTATATGATGAAAAAGGGTTTTTCTCATTATTTTACCACTTAGAAAATATTTGTTCCACTTAGAAAATAAAGGTTGTCAAGTCTTTAAAATGACTTTTGTCAGCCGGGCTCGGTGGCTCAGTCTGTAATCCCGCGCCTTTGGGAGGCTGAGGTGAATGGAATGCCTGAGCCCGAGGGTTCGAGACCCGCCTGGGCAACTTGGCGAGACCTCATCTCTACAATAAATCAAAAAATTAGCCGGCCATGGTAGTGCACGCCTGTAGTTCCAGCTACTTGGAAGGCTGAGGCAGAAGGATCGCCGGAGTCCAGCAGGTCAAGGCTGTGGTGGTCAGGAGTGTGCCACTGCCCTCCAGCCTGGGTGACAGAATGAGACTCCAACTCAAAAAAATTAAATTAGTTAATTAATTAATTAAATAAAATGACTTTTCTCAATTTTTAAATACAAATTAATTTGAAAAATTATTATTACCATTACTTTACCTTATTTATACTAATTCTAAGAGAATTTAATTGGTAACCTTTCTTAAGTATTGGTTTTACTGCAGCAAAAACAACATAGGTTAATGCTTTTAAAACTCACAGGACAAAAAATACAAATCTAAGAAATTTAATAAACTCACAAAAAGATTCTCAGAAAGAAAAAAATTACAAAAGTTATAAACCAAAAGAATAATAAAATACAGCTTTTCTAAGCTGAAGAAGAAGTATATCCTGCAGGTTAAAAGACTTTACTAGATATCAAACAACATTAATGAAAATAGAATAGCATCCTAGATAAATCTTCGTAAAAAAAAAAAAAATAGAGGGGGGAAAAAAGCCTCCTATAAACTCCTATAAAGCATCTAGAAAAATCATAGTTATCCAACAAAGGAATAAAAATGATGCTAGTTTCACATTTTCTATTATATATATGGGCTCTGGCACTCCCTCTGCCTCAGCCTTCCAAGTTGCCGGAACTACAGGTGCACACTACCACACCTGGCTAATTTTAGACGAGGTCTTGCCAAGCTGCCTGGGCTGGTCTCAACAACAACAACAAAAAAGACATAACATCATGGAACTTTGAGGAAAAAAGTAGTTAAAATTTTATGTCAAATTGTCAAAATTTTTTAAGAATAAGACATTTTAAATAAGCAATAGCATAACCAGTTATACATAAACTTTTACTAAAAAAAAAAAAATAATAATACATCAGACTTTTCCCAACCAAGGTAAAAAAAAATGACTCAAAAGAACATTTTAAGAACTAGGATGTAGAAATACTGAAGGACCAGTAGTAAACAACTAAACCAGTTAAATAGATCTTTTTGCGAATATGTTATAAAATCTATGGAAATGACAAAAGAGCCTTGAATAACATAGACTTTGGAAACAAATCATTTTATATTAATCTGGGTCCAAAATTCCAAATTATATTAACAAGAAAGAATGAATTTGGAAGGAGATTAAAGAATATATAAAATTATTCCAAAATTCTTATGGATAAATCAGCAGATACTTTTTCACTCTTAAAATTGATTTAAAATGCATCAAAATCTTAAAAAAACAAAATTATCTAGAACAGAAACAGAATGTGTACTTTCCAAAAAATCATTAGAACATAATCTATATTACCAAAAAATATGGTTAAGAAATAATTAGCCATTACAATAATTACAAATAGGTTAAAGAAACTGTTAGAAAAGAAACTGATTCTAACATTATAAAATTAGAAATAAAAACTCTAGACAATAAAGAAATATTTAATTATAGTGCATTTAAATACAGTAAGTCGCCTACCTACGAAATTTCAAGTTGCAAACTTTCATTTGAACATGCTTTCACATGTCCAAATCACGTAAGTTAGTTAACACATCTGGAGTGCATTGACATGTGTGCATGCATCCTCTATAAGTGGCTGTGCGTTTGTGTACTTACTGTACTATATAGAGTAGAGTAGTACAGTATCTTTATTTCAAGCCCAGGATGTCAGGAAGCAAGGATAAAAGCAGTGTTGATGTAGCTGGTACTGAATTTGTCAGTTGGGTATCTAGGCTAACTTTGTTGGACTTACGAACGATTGAACTTACAACAAATGCTCTCTTGGAATGAAATTTGTTTATATCTAGGGACTTACTGTAATGGAACATCATGCATTCATTAAAAATTGTGCTTTGAAGCAAGTATGTATACTCACAATAGCTGTTAAAACAGGAAAAAAGAGGGAATGGGAAAAAAGGAGGAAGGGAGGAGGAGAGAAAGAGAGAAAGAAAAGGAGGGAAAAGAAAAGCAATGCACCAAAGTGTTGACAGTACTGGCATTACAAGGATTACAGTTATCTTTTCACATTTTTTTCTATAGAATTTTTTAAAAAACTAACTACTATTATTTTTATATGCAGGAAATAATTACTATCCATATTTTTTTAAGAGCCAAGGGAAGAAAAAGTAGAGGAGAAAAAAAACCCATAGTCCTAATTTTTTTACGGAAAAAATGTAAATGTGATTAGCAGATAAATTTGGATTTAAAATATTTGAAAATGTTTTTAACTCATATAAATTTTAATTGTTTGAATCACTTCCAAATATTCCTTATGCAAAAACTTACTAGACTATCTTAAATAGCATGAAAATTCAAAAAAAGGAAAACCAATCACAGTCTTTAGAATATTAACTATGTATGTATACAGGTCTTACATTCACAAGAAAATGACAGCACAAAGTGAAAAATGCTATAACTAACATGCAAAAGTGCTATAGAAAACTAGGCACATAGAATATGGTGGCAATGGAAGGGAACACAGAGAAGAAGCATTTTTTTTAGCAGAAAGAAGCACCTATACTGTTAACAACATATGGAAAGACTCAAAGTATTCAGTAAAAAAAGATTTCAGTTTGTCTTAAAAATAGGGTAAGAGTTAAACCATAGGAAGATAAATGTTTAGAAAGGTAGCCTACAAACATATTTAAAAAGAAATGGGAAAAACTGAAAAACCTTAAACAGAAAAGAGATATTATATTTACCATTTTTGAAAATTCATTCCAACGAAAAAAAGGTTTACTAGAGATAAGACTACATATAGATAGATAGATCAAAAGTCTACTCAAATAGATAAGAAATGTTGGAAGCCTGAACTAGGACAATGACAGGAGAGATTAGGTAAGAGGAGATGATTTATTAAAATATTAGAATTTAACTGGAAGACGTGGTGAGGCAGGAAACATCAAAGTTGATGGGTAGATGGCACTGCCTTTCACTGAGAAGAAGATGTTGCAGTGCAAATTATGAGGAAAATTTTGAATCACTTTATGGTCTTATGTGACATATAGAAGAAGGTGGGAGACTGAAACACAAGAGAAGTCTATGTTGGAGTAAAGATTTGGAGATAATTATCATACAGGAAATAACTAAAGTGTTTACTGGTATGGATGAAATTACCAAAGATTATACAGACTATGAATAGAAAGGAAATAGAAACTAGAAAATCTCCCTATATTTAATATTTAAAGGTAGGTGGAAGAAGGAATCTAAGAAAGAGATAAAAAGGAGTAGAGAAACAGCAGTATCCCTCCAACCTGACTCCAGATTCAATACTCTTTTGAACCAAAGTTTCAAGTTCTTGATTTAATAACTACTGCTTTAAACAATACCAAATCAAATTCCAGTGTTCATTCTTTCAGACTGTTAATTTCATACATTTTCCAATATGATTATTATTTTTTTAAGTTTCAAAATTTCAACACAGGATCACATTGTAGTATCTGTTTTATCCCTTATTTTTATAATTAGAACAGTCAGTAGGCAAAATTTTTAAACACTTCATACCTTTCCTGTACTATTAAAAAAATTGCAAAGTCAAGGACAAAGGAAAGACTAAGACGTTTCTAGTTCAGTCTTGGCCAGTCTCAACAAGATGAGTCAGAGAATTAAGTAATAATATCCCATGACATCCTTAGTTTGTGGAGAATTAACTTTGCTCCTACGTATTTAGAATGTTATCAACTATGTACCATCTCTGAGAGAATTGAGAAAATAGTCACACAAATCATTCTCTGTAGGTCGTAACTGTGAACACTGGTTGGGAAAAACTACTTGAGGTATACTGTCTGTGCCTAACCCCTCAAATTCATAAGAGATGGGTCCTTCAGGAGGTGATTAAATTGTAAGGGTAGAGCCCTCATGAATAGGAATAGTGGTCTAATAAAACAGTTTGAAAGGGGGCTGCCTTTCCCTTCTGCCATGTGAGGATGCAGCAAGAGGAGCCAGCTTGAGGTAGAGAGAGCCTTCACTAGACACAGAATCTGCTGGCACCTTGGTCTTGTATAAACAGTAAATTTTTGTTGTTTCTAAGTTACTCAATCTAAGGTAATTTTGCTATAGCAGCACAAATGAACTAAGATACAATTTATTGTTTTATAATATGAATATAACAAAAATAATAGGCCTTCCTCTTTATTCACATCTTAAGTAGATGAAAGGATGATAAGCAAGGAGAAGTTATAGGTACTAACCAGTCTAGCCCTGTGGTCCTTACTCAATGCATATTTAATTTTAATCAATGATTAGAAATCGTACAACTAAAAGTAGAAAGAAAGTGTAAATGCACTGGTAAATATGGGCTTGTTGAAAAGTAACAGTGAAAACAAACAAAGCAGACAAAATAAACTTAAGGCACCCTTGGACTACTAAGCAGAGGACCAGAAAATTGCATAATGTGTAGTGGCACTTTGATATGATTGTCACAGAAATCTGAAACAAGTGATGTCTAAGAGTAGTACTAAACCATGAGGATTTAATTATGGTCTTTAGGAAAGCAGTCCCTTTCCCACATACCTCTGCAGGAGAGTACCAACTGCTTGAAAAAAAAAATCTGAAATTTTAAATACCTATATTACATTTATTAAACATATAAAAAATTCAAAAATAGACAAAATTCAGAGATTCTTAACAAACCCTGACATAGTCTTTACCAGATTCAGCAATGATCAAGTTTTTGCTACAATTGCTTTAACTCTTCCTTTTTTGAAATTTTACAAATAAATTACAGACATCAGGTTAGTATACTTTAGAATACATTTTCAGAAAATGGAACACTATTTTACATAGCCACAATGCCATTTCCAGTGTTTATATTCTTAAGAAAACATCATAAAGTCAGTGTCTCATCATCCAGACCCTACTAAAATTAGGAGTTACTATTTGTGATCATCTTCCTACCTTTGGTTGTACTGAATCAGGTGATTTTTCGTGTGGTTTATTAACAGAAATGTAGCTGCTCCATCATGATAATCTGAAAATGTAATAACTGTAGAATGCTCAGCCAAATTAACTTCTGCTATAATACCTCCAAGCTAAAAGAAAAACATTCATTAATGTGATCATTTTTCCCAAGAATATTAACTTACAACAGCTAATAAACTATTCATAACTCTATAACCTAATTTCTGGAGATAACTGAGAAAACAATTCATAATTTTTTACTACATTTCTTGGAAACTATGAATCTTAATTACTGTATGCAGATGGGTGACATTCCAGATATTGTATAGTCTACTATTCCAGGCACTCCAACTAACTTTTTGTATAACAAATTATCTCATGCCTCTGTTCCCTTTGGTATCTCTTCATTTTACAAAAAGAATGTTTGTTCATTTTTCGTGAAAGCAGGAAAAAAAAAATCAAGAGGTAATTATTGGTTACAAAAAGTAAAATCCTAGTAAGTATATTTTAGCTTTTCTAATGACACATGCAAAAAAAATCACTTACCTCATTATCCAGACGCAATAAAATACAATTTTCTTGCTTGTTAAAATATATCCTTTTGGGAGGACCTTCACTCCTTTCAACTTGAATAAGAAGCTTACTAGAAGCATTCTCAGGCCAAAAGGGGATACACTAAAACATGTATTTATAAAAAATAAACAGATATCATCATAAATGCTTATATAATTTTAATATACCTGTCAGAGTAGACTTAACATAAACTCTATTTTTTTATTTTTTATTTTTAGAGACAGGGTCTAGGCTCTGTCACCCAGGCTGGAGTACAGTGACACAATCATGGCTCACTGCAGCCACAACCTTCTGGGCTCCAGTGGTCCTCTTTCCTCAGTCTCCTGAGTAGCTGTAACTATAGGCATGTGCTATCATGCCTGGCTACTTCATAAACTTAAAAAAAAAATCTCTTTCAACACTGTTCTGGTTTTGGGGTCGCTCATATAGCTAAGTTGTGAACTGTCACCTTAGAGATGGGTTGTCACTTGTGGACACTGTGAATATAAGCAGCAATGGACAGTATGCTGAAGAGCTAGAAATGAAATTCAGGGGAGGAAAGATACTTTAATGTGTTAAGGATCTTACAGGGTAGGGTTGAAAAACCAGTAAGAAAGCTGAGATGATAACTGGGAAGCAGACGATTAGTTTAAAATGGGGGTACATTCGGTTACTACAAATCAAAATCAGGTTGTCAGCATCATTTGGTAATTAAGTGGAAGTAAAAGTAAACACAAATATATTAAATTTAGAGTTCTGGTCATCAAATAAGGGCAAAAACGTAAAAGAAGTATCAAAAGTTCAGAGTAGGTGAGAAGCTCAGAATCTTAACAAACAACTAGGACATCAGTGATCTGGAAACCAAACTAAAAGAATAGGAGACAAAGTACTAGACAGAAGACTAGACAAAAGAAGCTAGAAACAAAACGAAGAGCTAAAAGACAAGAATGGAGAGCCAGCCTAGTCTGTAACTATTAAGTTAATTCTATATTTTAGGCCCTAACCAGACTAGTTACTTCACATATGATAGAGGACCAAGGAAACAAAAACCCAAAAAACCCCCCAGGATTATCTTTTTGAAGGGCAGGTCCCTTGAAGTACAGGCTTCCACCACTAGGTAAGTGTTCTAGGATCCTATCGGCATCAGTGTACCAGTTAGTGTTGTGAGAGGATGTGTTCAGTTTTAGTGAATTTTTTTTGGAGATTTTTTTTTTCAATGTATTTGCCCATTTCATGACGGATGGTGGTTTATAAGAGCACCTGCCCACACAGCGCCGAGTGTTCAGCAGTTTCTGACTAGCATGCCGCCCCATGCCCCATCTTCCCTATTCACTCGCCCAGAACAACTTTTTTTTGTTTTCCCAGATGAAAACGTCCTCAAAGGGAAACGATTTGTTGATGTGGAAGAGGTGAAATAAAAAAACAGCAAAAGCATTAAAAGGCATCAAAATACAAGAATTCAAAAACTGTTTTGAGCAGTGGAAAAAGTGTCATGACAGGTATATTGCATCAAACAGAGTACTTTGAAGGTGACTGAAGTTTAAATATGTAAAAATAAATACACAGTTTTTAATAAATAAATTCAGGTTTTTTGAGGGTCCCCCTTTGTATTTTAATAAGACTGTTCACGTGTGAGGATGGAACCCAAGATTAACATGAAATTCATTTGCTTCATATACAACTTGTACACACAGCCTGAAGGTAATTTTGTACAGTATTCTAAATAGTCATGTGCATGATACAAAGTTTGTGTACACTGGGCCATGAGAAAACAAATGTGTCACTATTTCAGTTACCCATGTGGTCAATCTGTGGTTGTTTGGCATAACCATTATTCCTGACTGTGAATTTATAAGCTACTAATAGTAATTTTTTAAAATACTTACACATAAGTACTTAACAGTAAAAAACAGTATATGACATAGCATAAATAAAGTGAAAAATAATGTATCAGACGTGGAATTTCCACTTTTGGCATCATGTTGGCACCCAAAAAGTTTTGGATTTTGGAGCATTTGGGGTTTGGGATTTTTGGATTAGGGCTGCTCGATCTGTACTATCTCAAGTGTTAAAGGTGTGACTGTCACTTTTATTTTGGCTTGTCTTAACCAGCTACTCCAACACCTGGCAACTCACCTCTCTCCTGCCCAGCTGAGCTCTTGTCAATTGCTAATTTTTCTCATTGCCTCTAAGTCTTTGTGACCTTGATGAGTCCTATCCTGAGCACTTTATGTAATTACAGCCCACTCACTGCTCTCTAGAATTCTTGGTACTCCTTATCCTGACTTATTTCCTCTTTCTCTCATTAGACTTGTCACCTTTAAACCTGCTATATATTTTAATAACTAATCATGGTAATATTAATTAAATATTTCCCTTCATAACTACCAAAATGTAAACTACATGAAGACAAGAATTTGTGACTTTGTTAACAGGTGTGCTGCAAGTCCCATTAAAAAGTATACAGTAATATATGTTGAAAGAATGAATATAATTCTAAAAAGGTGAAACTTCTAAAAATGAGAAAAATAACTGTTCAAATGAGAAAAATAACTGTTCAGTTGAGAGCTTAAATAGCAATTTAGACACAGTAAAAGTAAAAAAAATTGAAAGACATATGCAGAACTTATGCAGAATGCAGAAAACAGAATTAGACAAGTGGAAAATTTAAAAGAGATATTAAGAGATATGGAGGAAGGAATACAAATGTTTAGTATATGTCTGATTAAAGGCCCAGAAAGAAAAAAGGAAACAACAAAGGAGAGGCAATATTTAAAGAAACAATAGTTGCATATTTTACAGAAGATATGAAATACATTAATTCACAGATCTCAGAGTAAAGCATCTCAAAGAAAATAACTTAATAATCCACATATAGACACACAGCAGTATGACTGCAGAACACCAAAGACAAAGAGAAGAAAGACCCTGAAGGCAGCCAGAGAGAAAAAAAAGATCACTTTCAAAGAAATGATACACTCACTGTATAATTTTCAACAAAAATGGAAACCAGAAGATAGCGGGAAAAATATACAATATGTTGAGAAAAATGTCAACCTACAATTGATATAGAGAAAAATTATAATTAAAGATGATGACAAAAATGTACAGATAAACACAAACTGATAGCATTTACTTCAAAGTCAGCTCTAAAGGAAATCCTAAGAATGTACTGCAAGAATAATCCTACAAAGATGGCTTTATATACAAAAAGAAATGGTGAATAAAAATAGCAAGCACTTTAAAAAAAATATCCTAACATTTTGAATAAAAGTTTTTCAGAAGCAAAATAGTCTATCAACCCCAGTCAATCGTTCAAAAATCTCTCTTTTTTTTTGAAAGCAGGACTTACTGAGAGGACAGAAAGGCTCCCACAGTGGGAGGGGGCCCAAAATGGCTGCCCAGAAATCTCTTACCCAGAGGTTTAATAGCTAATTATGGTACAGAGTCAAAATTTCACTTCTAAGCTACTACTGCCTTCTTCAAATAAGTAAACAAAAAGTCTGGCTTAACATACTCTCTAAAGTCATTTCTAACAGTTTCCCAGAAAGAATAAATCAGTTCTTTCTCTTCGATGCATTTGTACCTCATCTAGTCTACTACTGCTGTATTTAACCAAACTGGTTAGAAATTGTTAAATGTCTACCCCCCTTATCAAGTGAGGTATTCCTAGATATCTAATTATTAAAAACTGAACTTTGCCATCTATCTAGAGCCTGGCACAAATACTCAATAAAGGTTCATGCAACTGAAACAAAATTGGGGTAGGAGGAGAGTTAAAACATTACATGGTGATTTCAGATATCTAATTTCAAGGAAAAAATACAATCCAAAAAGGTACCCTTTTGAAATCCATCTACCCACCTGCTCCAAATCAATAGAGAGCCATTTATCAGTTCCCTCTTCAGCCACTGATATGTGGTATCTGCTTTTGTTTTTAATCATGTAAAAAGGAGTAAATGTCACAATTCTAGTAATGTTAAAACTGCTGAGGTCTATAGTGACACCAACCTAAGGAAAAAAAAAATTAAGAGCTCAAAAACTGTTATATTATTATAGGATCCTTATAAAATTTAATTAAGTAGTTAATAGACAAATTTTAAATACAAGTTTCTTGATGAGCATAGAATGAACTCACTTGATATTCCATTTTTTGGCCTTTACATTTGACAGCTCCATGACTACCAACAGTATCAATTGAAAACTGATCTGACAATTCACTATCAGTTACCATAAGCTGAACCTAGGAAAAAATATTTCAAATATATTACAATTTAGGTACCTTTAAAAATTCCTGCTGAAATTGATTTTTAAAATTTTTTTTTAGCATAAGCTAATTATATTGCCAATGCACTAAACCTTTCCCAATGTTAAATTCTAATTTCTTTTTTTTTTTTTTTTGAGTTGGAGTCTCACTGTCACCCAGACTGGAGTGCAGTGGCTACTCCCAGCCACCGCAGCCTCGACCTGCTGGGCTCCGGCGATCCTTCCGCCTCAGCCTTCCGAGTAGCTGGAACTACAGGCGCACGCTACCATGCCCGGCTGATTTTTTGATTTATTGTAGAGATGAGGTCTTGCTGCCCAGGACGGGTCTCCAACCTGCGGGCTCAGGCAATCCACTCACCTCAGCCTCCCAAAGGCGTGGGATTATAGGCTGAGCCACCGAGCCCGGCTAAATTCTAATATTTTAAGCCTCAAATATTTAACAAATGTTATTTCTACCCGTTTCATATTTTATTTTTCAAAACTCTAAAAACTAAAAAGGTGTGACAAACAGCTAAAGAAAAATCAAAGTTAGAAAAATGTTACATACCTTATTGTTATTAAAAAAGTGATTTGGTTGAAAAGAAAACAGAACTGGCTTTTTATAATCAGGTGGATGCTTTCGATGAATTCCATCTGCTTTGTACTGTAACATTCGACCAGTTTTATTGACCATCCAATAAGGACTATGAAATGCCACAACTGTCTGACCAGTATTGTAAGTCACATGGATAGCAATATCTAAATTAGTCTTTTCTATTTCTGTAACACAGGTAAAATTGATAAAACTAATTTCTTGCTGATTATGTTTTATATGATATTCACTTTTCCAGTCATGATTAAGATAGTCAAGTAATTTTAAACGTAGCTTGGCTTTCTCCAACTGTACAGTACCAATCTGGGCTGAATGTCCTTCACGTAGAGTAAAAACTGAGTTTTCAATTCCCTGTAATAAAAAATAATAAATTTAAAAATGTTTCGGAATACTATGTCCCAAAACTCTACTTAAATTTTCCAAATGCTACACAAAATGCTTTTGAAATACCTGTCAGCACAAGTTAGAAGACTTATACTGAAGCTTTATCTCTGTCAAGTGTATAAACCTCCGTAAAATATTTAATCTGAGATTTGAGTTATTATATTTGTAATATGGTCTAAATGACTATTTCAAAAGACAACTGTGAGGACTAGGTTTAATAATATAATGTGAAACTCCCCTGGAAAGTATAAACCTAAAACACTATAATCAGTAAAAGAACAACAACAAAAAAAAACCCCAATCTTATCAACTAGTTTTGAAAATTATAAAATAATGAAAAATGTAGGAGAAAACTGATAGTAATCCAAAATAAGCAATCCCTAAGATCTCCCTTTCTTGATTTTTAACAATCCCTCATCACCCATGTCCAATCACTGTTTATATTCCATCTTCTGTATCTCTAAACACTGTTCATTTCTTTCTGCCCTCACTGCCATTACCTTAGTTCATGTCACTATATAACCACTCAGTTTAACAGTCTCTTAACCGTGCTTCTCCCTTCTAGTCCCTTTCTCACACCACAGCTAAACTGTCTTTCTAAAAACTGATCATATATTTTGGAAACCAGCAGATAGAATGTAATTACAAAAAGCATCAAATTAAAAGTTCTATGAGCAAAGAAACATAAATAGTACATCAAAATATCTCACCAGTTTTTCTAGTACCTCTATCCTGGTCCCTTCCTATTCTTTTTTTTTTTTTCTCTAATTTTAAAGTTATGGGGTACAGTTCAGAGCTAGGTATACAAATGGTCATCGTGTAGGTAAAATTTGGTCCTCACTTTGGTCCCCACTTCACCTGGTTTGAGATCAGGTACCCTTATTGATAAGGATGAGGTATGCCCTCTCTACTTCCCCTGGCAGTTTCCTACTACTGCCAATCCCCTTCCTATTCTTACAACACAGGAATATCTCCATCTCAAGATTTTATATTAATTTTAGCAAAAATAATATCAGTTATTAATTCTTTGAAAGTTAAATAATATTCCACAAAATAACAATGGTGGCTGTGGTGCCAGAGTGGTAAATAAATGGCAACCATGTGTCTATCAGGCACTACACTAAAATCTTTACACACATCAATTTGATTTTCCCCATATCCCAACCATGAAAATTTTATTATTATTCCCATTTTATGGACTAGGACAAAAGATTTAGAAAAGAAATAAAGTGTGCTTAATAAAAATACAGCTAGCAAATGACAGAGCTAGGATGCAATCTCAAATCTGACTGCAAAATACAAATTCTTAACCACTATAATAATTGGTTACCCAATATTGAAAAACAAATTTTAAAATAATTAATATGTTAACTTTTCCTCCCCAAAAATATATCAGAAAAGTGTGAGCATATAATTTTCAAAGGAAAACAAATCTACAATTAATAGATGACAATAAAGAACAACTTTCTTTCATTTGATATGCATGTCAAATGAAATACTGACATAAAACCTTAAGCTGGAGGGATTCCTATGTTATAACAGACGGGAATTCGACCTAATCTGTTAAAACAAACAGTATATAAGAAAAAATACAACTTTACAAAGCAGACAAACCTTTAAGAAAATTAGCACTAAATATAATGTAGCAAGTTTTTTTTCATTTAAGTCTAGTACTTGAAAGTTATTTCAATACTAATTCTGACAGTTGCTGCAAAAGAATATCTGTTCTATCTATCCTTTATTATAACTCTAATTTTTATTACAAATTTAAAATATTTTTTATAGTTCATCATTTTAAATAACTAAAACTTCAAAATGGCAACTCCCTTGGGTCCTCCCCACTCTGGGAGCTTTTCTGTCTTTTCAATAAATCCCGCTTTCACAACAACAACGACAACAACAAAACTACAAAAAGAAAGATAAGAAAGCATTAAACAAATTCTACAATACCTCTATATAATAAGCAATTTTGTAAGGGAGAAGATTTCGGAGTAGGATAGGTGGCCACAAATGCATTATGTATGGTAAATCCCAACCATCTTCTGAATACACTGATAGAGATGTCAAATTATCTTTTTCTGGGACAATATTAATGAGAAATGGTTTCTTAGAAAGATTTACAGATTTACATTTCCTCTTTAGAAGAGCTCCATTATTTTTTGTAATTTCTTCAAAGTCAATTCCTTTACACATTTGATAGTCATTGTCTTCTGGTTTCAGAAAAAGGAATGATCTGTGTAAAAGATTTAATACACTTTAAAATGCTTTAAAATAAGTCATATATTAAATTATATAATTACAGCTTTAGAATAATAAAATTACCTACTTTCATAATATTGCAACAATTTTCATATTTTCTTTTTTTTTTGAGTTGGAGTCTCACTCTGTCACCCAGACTGGAGTGCAGTGGCCCGCTCCCGGCCACCACAGCCTCGACCTGCTGAGCTCTGTCGATGCTTCTGCCTCAGTCTTCCAAGCAGCTGGAACTACAAGCGTGTGCTACCATGCCCGGCTAATTTTTGATTTATTGTAGAGATGAGGTCTCACCAAGTTGCCCAGGCAGGTCTCGAACCCGCGGGCTCAGGCAATCCACTCACCTCAGTCTCCCAAAGTGCTGGGATTACAGCCTGAGCCACCGAGTCTGGCTAATATTTTCATATACTTTTAAAGATATAGGTATGATAAATAGATATCATCTTAACTTTCTAGAAGTTAATCAAGTAATGTGGTTCTTAAAAGGAGACATTTTGCTTATAATTTTACTATCTTAAAAGTACATTTACAAGATAATAATTGGTTTCTTACAAAAAGTACATAATCATATCAGTCATATATGCAAAGCAAACCACAATCATTGCTGACTTGCTCATTTAACTGAAAGAATTTGGCTTTTCTGTATATGTGGGTCTAACAGGAAATAAATTCCACAGACGAATTCATGAACTAAAAAAAATATTTCTACTGAAAAACTAATCGTCAGTTTTTCAAAGTTAATCAAATGAAAATTTTCAATAGATACTTAGTTTTATTAAAATGTGGGCTACAGATGCAGAGAAGTGGTTTTAAGAAAATGGTGACAAATTCATTGGGTGCTATTATTATTAATCTTTATATTTGACTATTACACTATGTTTACATTTCAACAGTTATTTTTAACTGTTTTTAACCCAAGCTGTATGCAAGAATAAATACTTAAGAAAGTTTTTATATTTGTAAAACTAATTAGCTATAATTGTGACACTATCCTTTACAGATGAACAACTGTCAAAACTATCTGTAGTACTGATTATTTTCCTATACTCTAGTCCTAAAATGTTAAGTATCTACTATATATTTCTGTAATGATACCTGATGGTACTGTAAATTTGCTAGTTTGAATACTGAACCTTCTGTACCCACTTTGCTGTGTGTCTTTTTCAGTGACTTTCAGCTACTGGTACTGTGTACTTTGAAATAACATTAGACTCTTCTTCTATGACCCATGTATATAATTATTTGTCAAATCAGTTAGCGGATTTAGCCTATTCTACTTCTACATTCTCTCTATAATTTTCATTCTTACTTTTAATACTTAAAGATAAAAACTTAATTTTCTCCATTAAACTAATGGCAATATACTCATCCAGTTTATCAAAACATTTACGGACCCATTAGGTACCAGTGAGAAGACAAAACTGAAAATGCTCTGTGACTCTCTACAACCCACTCTGTCCTACCTTATGTATTTATCTATCAATCTCTTGATGGCAATAACCAGATCCAATTCATCTTCATATCCTACAGTGTCTCACCCACAACAAAAATGTGTTAAATGAATTAAATATTTGTTAATGAATTAAATTTAAAAATAAGTATACTTAAATTCTCTTAGAATATCTTAATATAGATTATTTATTTCTATTTATTGGTCTCTATATTTATCTATATCATTAATCTAAGAATGAACTAGAATAAAGATAGTCATTTGTTAATTTAAAACGTCACATTAAATTTTAAGTGTGCCCACATCAAAGTTTTAGACTAAAAGAGTACCTAATAAGAAATCCATGCATAATAATTCTAAGATGAATAGAGTACTTAGTTACTAATAATGCTAATTAAGATAGATTAATTAAAATCTAACAAATTACTATTTAGCCTTGAATAATAAAGCATAAAAATACATTTTTCTCTACTATGTAGCAAAAATTTATTAAAAAGTGTAATGACACTAACTTATTATCCAAGAACAAAATAAGTTGAAAAGTTCTTCACATAAATTTTTAAACATATGCTACATGCAATCTTTAATCTAGTTTTATAACCCACCCCAAATCCTCTCTAGAACAAGATATTGTAAGTGACTATTTTTTTGTTGTTCTCTCAACAATACAATTATTTTCCTCAGCAAGTTTGGACTAAGCAATAAAACACTCAGAGTTAGCAGGTCTATCCAAGTGAAAATATGTGAGTAAAACCATTAGACTGCCTTCTAAGCATTAGCGATCCCATCCTGAATTCCTGAGCAAGAAGGATCAGCATGAATAGAGGCAGAGGATAGGTAAGAACCGCTTGCAGTTTTGCCTCTATACTTTTGTAACAATGGAGCAAGTATTCACTTCTAGTGTGTGTGAAATGGTGTTTAAACAAACTATAGGCCGGGTATGGTGGCTCAAGCCTGTAATCCCAGCACTTTGGGAGGCCGAGGTGAGAGGATTGCCTGAGCCCACAAATTCGATACCAGCCTGGACAACCATGGTGAGACATCGTCCCTACAACAAAATAAAAAAACTAGCCAGGCATGGTAGCATACACCTGTAGTTCTGGTTACTCGGAAGGATGAGGCGGAAGGATTGTCAGAGCCCAGCAAGTTGACGCTGGAATGGTCATGAGTGTGCCACTGCAATCCAGTCTGGGCGACAGAGTGAGACTCCAACTCAAAAAAATAAAAATAAAATAAAATCGACAATGCTTAATTCTGAGGGAAATTTTATTCTCCAATAGGGTTCAGTCTTCAAAGAAGAAATTATGTTCAATTCCAGATTAAATTATCTTCCACAATAATACTTGCTATGATATTAAATTTATAATTTTAAGACTAGCTTATAATTTGTATTTTGTTATAATTTTAATAATCTTATCTTAAAATACACTATATTACGTTTAATCTAATTACTTTAAATATTTAAGATTAATGTAATATATATTTATATTTACATTACGACTCTATTCGTGAACAATGAAGAAATAAATATGTAGGTAAAAAGATAAAGTACTTTGCTTTCTAAAGGAATTTCAAAAACTACAATTGTAAAACCTTTGAAAAGCAAAGTTCACTTTACAATATTAAATCCAGAAACCACCAAATGTAATCTATTAAACATTTTTTAATCTCATAAACATTTAAGATTATGGATATGATGGTTATGTTGCAATCAAATAAGAATTATATATTCTAGTAAAAACATAATTTATATAATATAAATTGAATACATTAAATTAAATAATATTTCTTTCAAAAAAATATAAGTGCCCTGATCCCTAATGAGATGAGATATTAGCAGGGTGGATTTGATCAGTTATTCATCCATACAGAATCAGAAACTAAAAGTTCTTTTTAAAAAAATCTCAGTAAGTTCATTATTCTTTAGAATTTTAAAAAATATTTTACTCTAAAGATGTGGGGTACAATTCAGGATTAGGTATACAAATGGCCATCATACAGATAAAATTTGGGCCTCCCTTTGGTTCCCACTTTGCCTGGTTTGAGATCAGGAATCCTTTGATGTTGTGTCCCTAGCCCCACCCCAGCAGTATCCCACTACTGCCAATCCCTTTCTCATAGTATTATGGTAAATGTTCAGGGTCCACTTTTGAGTGAGAACATGTGGTACTCTGTTCTTTGTTTCTGTGATAGGTCACTGAGAATTATAGACTCTAAATCCAACCAGGTTGCTGCAAAGTTCATATGTTTGTCCTTCTTTATGGCTGTGTAATATTCCATCATGAGAAACTAAAAGTTCTATAAGAGACCTTATAGTAAACAAAATGATAGGGAAAAAAAATTACCGGTAAGATGCTAATGGTATATTGAATTCATTTTCTGGTGAAGCACTTCCCAGTAAGGTATTCCCTTCATAAACAGAGAGTGGGACTGAAAAATGGTTTCTAATCTAAGGAAGAAAAACAAATAATATTTAGTATCATTAATCTAACATTCTAAAGACTTTTTAAAAAATGCCCATGTAAATATCCTAACAAAGGAACTACCAGACAATATCTTGTTTATATAAATTAGAAAAGAAACAAACATATAATTATTTAACATAAGAAATACAAGGCAAGTTTCATAAGTTTTATACAAAAGGAATCTAAAAAAAAACATTAAACATCCTAGATAGGAATAAGATAGTACCTTCTTGATTTTAGAACAGGGACTAGTTTGTTTAAAAACATGTTTTTGTTTAGACAAAAATAGTAGAGAAAAATCCATAGGAAAACATACATCAACATTTTACGTATTTATATGACAAAAATGAAAAACAAGCCACAGACTGGAAATGTCTGTAATATATTTAACAAAGCGTCTATAACCAGAAGATATACAAAAATCCTAAAAATCATTAAGAAAGCTGCAATCAACAGGAAAATGGGAACAAAATATAAAAAAGTGACTCACAGAATAGAAAAACTGAATGACCAAAAAAGTTTTACAAATGTTCAATGTTCCTAGTAATTAAGAAAATACAAATTAAAGTAATAGACTATCTTTTCATACCAAAATACTGCAAGAAACCAGAAGTCCTATAATATCAACAGTGTAAAATAATAATAGGAACTCTCATATACTGCTGATAAAATGTAAATTGATAGAATAACTTCGGAGACTAAATGACGCAAACTTAATAAATATGAAAATGCACCTTCTTAGCAATTCTACTCCTACTTTCTTTCTTTCTTTTTTTTTTTGAGTTGGAGTCTCACTCTGTCGCCCAGACTGGAGTGCAATGGCCACTCTCGGCCACCGCAGCCTCGAC